TGAACAAGCTGAAGTGCCACAAAGCAGCAGGAGCGGATGGGATAGTCAACGAGTTCATGAAGTTTGGGGGGAAGGGGATGATCCAGCTGATGGTACTGCTATACAATTGGGTGTGGAAAAACGAATATACGCCGAGTAGATGGAGGCAAGGGGTAGTTGTGAACTTGTTCAAGAAAGGAGACGAGATTGAACAGGAAACTACAGGGGGATCACACTGCTGAACACAGTAGGACAAGTGTTCTGCAAGCTGCTGAACGATAGGATAGTGGGAGTATTGGAGAAGGAACATAGCATTAGTGAGGGCCAGGCAGGTTTCCGCAAGAAGAGGGGGTGCGTAGACCACGTGTTCACGGTAGGGAGAATCATCCAAGGTAGAAAGAGGGCGGGAAAGCCGACGTACTGCTTCTTCCTGGACGTGAAAAAGGCATACGACACCGTGTGGAGAAATGGGTTGTGGAAACAACTGTCCAAATACGGGATCAAGGGAGAAATGTGGAGAGTGCTGAAGAAGATGACAGAGTGTACGAAAAGCGCGGTCATGCTAGACGGAGAACTGTCAAAATTCTTCGACATTGAGCAGGGGGTCCCACAAGGTTGCACGCTGTCCCCAACATTGTTCCAGGTGTTCATCAACGATCTGTTGGAAGTCGTAGAGGCAGTCCGGAAGGGAGTAAAAGCAAGGGACACGGAAACGTCGGTTTCAGCAATGCTGTTTGCGGATGATTTTGTCGGTATGTCGGACACCCCTGAGGGACTGCAACTGCAAATTGACGCGGCGAAGAAGTTTACTGATAAGTGGAGATTGTCTGCCAACGTTCAGAAGAGTGCCGTCATGGTATGCAACGAGAACAAGGAGGAACCAGTAGAACATAGATGGAAGTGGGGGATCGAGGAGATTGCAGTAGTGGACCAGTACACATACCTCGGAGTAGAGATCGCAAAAGACTGCTCGTGGAATGCACACATGTCCAAGGTAGCGGAAAAGGGCAAAGCACGAGCAGGGAAGCTGCACCCAATACTCGCAAACCGGCACCTCGATACACGCATCAAATTGACGGTTTTGAAGAGCGTAATCGTACCGCCGCTAGAGTACGCCGGAGAAGTATGGGAAGGGAATAAGAAGGTAGTGAAATAACTCGAGGCGGCGCAGATGAAAGCAGCGAAAATCATTCTAGAATGCTCCAAGCGCACAAGTAATGCAGCCGTCAAGGCCGAAGTGGGGATTCAATCCCTTCGGTCTGGAAGAGACGCGAGGAAGCTGACATGGCAGTATCGCATGTGCGGGATGGGAGAGGAGAGGTTGCCGAGAATTGTATGGGAGGCGAAGTGGGCAAACAAAAAGAGGGGTAGACAACCCACGGAATGGGTCAAGGTTGTAGAGGACGTATGGAAGGGACTCGACATCGACGAAGATGAAACGCTGGAAACGGAGGGTCTACAGGGGTTCAAAGAGAAGATACCTATTGCTTGTGCCGAGAGAGAAAAACAGAACATAATCTCAAGAAGAATCCAAGGATAAGGGGGGTCTAGAAGTGTACGGAATGTTGAAGGAAGGAATAGGGTTCAAGGATTACCTACATGGACCAATAGATGCAGGAACAAAGCGTAAGGGCAAATTCAGGACCGGGGACATCGGCCTTCGAGAACGTTGACGAAGACATACGACGGTAGACAAGGAAGACGACGAGTTCAAATGTGATTGCGGCTTCGAATGCGAAGACCGTGTTCATGTAGTCGCGGAATGTCCGTTGTACAAGAAGAGGGAAGTGCACATGACTGAGCTGGGAAAAATAGATGGGACGTACAGGGAGATGTTTGAGGCATGGAAAGAGAGGAAAGGCTGGTAGCTGTACTGAGGCAAGGAAGTGGGTTGAAAAGGCGGGAAGGGATATCGTTAGGATAGGCAGGCTAGGGAAGACATTTTTGAGCCACCTTTGGCAAAGTAGAAAGGAACGATTGGCCATCGGTGATCGGTCCTGTGGGAACAATGCTCCGTCCTCTCGAGGATGCGTGGTCAATGGTCTAACCGCTAAGGCACGCAAAACAGGAGAGTACGCTCCCCCCCCCACGCACGAGCTGTGCACTTGGTGCCTCTTTCGTTTTGCCTCCGTTAGAGGTCGTGGGGATCAATCGCTCTAGGTGCCTTGGAGTTTTCAAGTCACGCCCCTTTCCTTGGGTTTGTGTCGTGCCCCTCAGTCACCTTTCTCTACCAACAGCCAACATGTACCGAGTTGGAAATGGTCGTGGTTTCGTTATTTCCAACACAACGTCCAGCAGGAAATGACATCTGGATAATGTCTACCGCGGCAATGGTGCTTTTCCAACTGCACGAGCAACGTCTTCTCGACCCGAGCCGAAGAAATTAGTCCAAGTTGAAATTCCGAATCGGCTTCAACTTGTCAACGGTGTTTCAATCCATCCCGCGAGGCCGACAACTCAACACAAGAATACTTTCTTACTTTCGAAACTTGAGTGAGGGGCAACTCCTTGTCTGTGGCTGGGGGTTGGTGGTCAGCGGGCACATCGCGTGCCTTGATGTATCCGTTGAATCAAGGAAAATGAAGCAAAACAGAGCCAACTTTCTGGGCTATTCCGCGGTCTCAACACGTGCGGAAAACATAACGTCCAACCATGTGTTGGTGCCACTTTCGCACAACCAGCGCACTATGCATAGCCGAGCAGCTGACCGTTGCCATGTTGGAAAGCGCGTGTGACACACCATGGGTGGTGGGCGTGTCATATGCATGCCTCATGTCTTTGCAACGAACGGGTTGCCGCCGCAGACAAGCGTGCGAAGTGCGGCGGCTGTGAACTACATATATATATATATATATGCATACAACACGGACCGAGTCTTTGCTAGATTTTTGGATTAGCAACTGACACGAGTTTAATGTGAAGAAAAACAACAACAACAACAACAACACGGAATGAACCAACACTTGACGTATATGCGGAGTGCGGAGTCTGCCATGGTCATTGAAGTGGGCGGTTCGGGCCGCAGCCGTAGTTGACGCGTTGAAGCGTGGTTGAACACAGACCCCAATGAACAAAAGCTGCAAATAACACGGCACATTGTCGTCCAAACTATTCTCATTAAGCACGTTTTCGCGGACTAACGTTGAAGACAACACTGCTGCGACCCTATTCGGACGTCGATAGTATTCCGGACGATAATTCAATCTTCTCAATTGCACGTGCAGATAGCTGTGCGCCGCGAGACGGACAGCTGGCCACATGATGCCAGTCACCGTACCGTCCTTCCATTTGATATTTTGACCGGTGTTGCAGAGCGTCACGTCTCCACCTAAAAAATAGGAAAATTACACGCAATTCTATGCATCACTCCCTACAAAAATTCTTGTATTTTCCTCCCTCACCTCCATCCTTGAGGCTCGACCAAAACTTCCCCGGGAACGTCTCCCCGGTAACGCCCTCGATCCACAGCGCCACTTCCATCTCCGCATCATGTTGCGCCGTGACTTCCCTCCTCCTCCTGGCCTGATCCTCGACGGAGCTGCTGCTCCGTCCGAAGCCATAATAGTCGCTCGCCACCGCCCCACCGTCGCTACCGCCGCTTCCGCCGCTACCGCCGCCGCCGACCTCTCCTCGGGGAGTGGATGCGCCCTCCGCCCTCGGCGAGGGCATTATCATCGGATTGCAACGTCTGGGGGTGTTGGCGACCGAAAGCGCAGACTCCGCGTATTCGACAACGCCGCCGCCGCCTTCACTGCCCTCCCGCGTCACCGCACCAGCCCCGCCATTACGTTTGCCGCCGAGTGCAGCAGCAGAAGCAGGTTCTTGGGCTTGCCACCGCTGCGCGTCCGTGGTTCCTCTACCGGCGGCTTGTGCACCCGAAACCACACAGGCATCGTCCGGGCCTGGAGTTCGGGCAGCTCGCAATCGCGCCGTTCTCGCCGCACCCGGTGTTCTCGGCGGTTTCGCGGGTGCTGGCGCTCCTCCTCCTCCTCCTCCTCCTCCTCCTCCTTCGTACACCCCGTACGTAAGCTTACCCGCCTCGTACGCTGCCGGCGACAGGCAGCGCCTGCTCGAGGTTGCTCCGTCCTCGCCGTCATGTTTCGGGAGGGACAGCGGCTCAAGCCCCGCCGCCGCCGCCGCCGCCGCCGCCGCCGCCCGACTGCCCTTCTTGCAGCTGCTGGTAGCGCTTGCGCCGGCCGGCGCGACTCCCGCAGCCGGCACAACATTTCCCTTGGCGATGTCGACGAGATGCAGCACGGCAGGGTCCACCTCCGGCTTGTCCGGGGCGCCGAGGTATGGCCCATGGTACGACGGCATGGTGGTGCGAACGAGCTCTGACAGGGAAAACAAGCACCGAACGACCTGCGGCAACCGGTTCTCGTTGAACAGGTCCTTTATATTTACAACGGCGGCAGCAGGGGCAAGAGGGCGAGGGGAAACAAATTGTGACCGACACGGAATCCACTGCGAGAGTGCTTTCCGTGGCAGCAACAGCAGCAGCTGCTTGCATCTTTGGGAGCAGCCGAAATGTTTCGGTTCAGCGCTCTTGTTTGCCCAGGCAGCACGGACGAAGCAAGGGGCGCGTGCAAACAAAATCTATGGTGAATTCCAAAGGGTCAAAAAGTCGCGAGAGTGATGCCACACACAACGCCAAAAATCTGAAAAATATCGTCAGCCGCCAAAAGAGTCACCGCCGCCGTGTTTCGAAAGGTCTCGCTCTCAACGTGGTCACCGGCCAGTACCTCGACAAGAATTGCATCCGCTAAATGTGTGCATCCAGCTCTTTGCCTATTGATCTCTGCAGCTCTCCGCGCTAACTACTGCTGTAGTCTAGTACTGCGCTGCGGTAAATCTTGTATTCTGTCGCAAGTGCTTGAAAAGACCGGCCGACAGGCGTCATCAAATATTTTGCGAAGAGTTGAGGGAAGAATCCTGCTCACCAGAGTTTCGAAGAGCACGTGCTCGCTGACACCAAGCATCCGGCACGCCTTGAGGAAAGAGCTGATATTCGCCATCTGGTGGAACGGAGACGCTGACCTCTCTATCTTCGGAATGCTAGCCGGTCGAAAGGTGTTGACTAACTCGCACAGACCCTGGCCATCTTTAAAGCCAGCGGCGAAATCGCCCTCGGGGAGTCGGCGCCCTATCACTTCCTCGACCCAATGCCGCGCCTTGAGACCCGCGCTGGCGTCTCGGGCGAACCGCGCAGATGGCGTGGACGGGCTTGGGAGCATCGCCCACGCTGCCTGCCCTCTCGAAGGCGACGTTGTTCCCATCCGGTCCATTTCCAGCGTGGTGTAACGTAATGCGGCCTACAGCAGGTAGTGTACGTCGTTGCCGTGCAACGGAAATCCCGGCGGTTCCACCCTTGTGTTTCACCCCGCGAGCTACCACTTGTCCATATCCTACCCACAGCTTGGGGGCAGCGGGAGAGATCGGCCGATGCGATGTGGTGCAGGGTGTAGAAGAGGGACGGCGGTACGTAGGCTGACGGAAAGCAAAGGGATACAGCCGCGAATCAGCGAAGCTTCACGCCACTTGTTGCACATCTCGTTTCTCGGGCGCGGTGGGGGTCCCGCGAGAAGGTTGACGTAAGCGGCGAAATCTTCCCTGCTTGTCCGCCAGTTCGGGGTCCTACAACGCGTCTCCCTGATTGATGTTTTTGCGGTACGGTGATGCAGCAGTAGTTGCGTAAAGTGTCATCGACCGTCGACGGCTTTGTGTGCTGCACTAGTTGCATAAAGCAACGTGAAAGCAGGTAGTGTTACACTCGGGGTGAACGATTGAGATCAGCGATCAGGTCGCAATATTTCCGAAGGGCGAACAATCGTCATAAAGATGACATCACGGCCGCCGCAGGAGGCAAAGAGTGTTCGGAAGTGCACCTTACAGCAGACTACACCCTTTCTCTGTATACCTGTACCAGAGAATATTTGCAAAGAGAATTTCGAAGGGTTTGCTTCTGTCCGTCTCGGGTACAGCGCAACCTTCCATTTTTCAGCCTGCCGAACGCTGCAAGCACGGTCCGCGGGAGAACACATTGAAAAGAAAAATCTGATTGAAAAAATACAAAATCCGTCCCCCGTCCCCCGTCCCCCATCCTCGTCTTCCGACCTGGGAGGCGGTGTTTTTTGTGAGTCGACCTTCGCCAGATTGCAGAGAGGTCCAACGCAACTTCGCTTTGGGTAGAGTGTCAAGACACCAACAAGGCAGCACCTCGTGTGAGGTACTGGCGCGCGCGCCCAAGCCTACTCGTCGTATTGTTGTTGTACCTGTGTCGGCAGTCGGAAAGTACGAGTGCAAACAGTAAATCAGCGCGAGGGGCAGCAGAACGGGCATCGAACGACTGCTGCCGAGGGCGCTCTTGGCGTTTGGTCAGCGGAGGCACAGGCACGATGTCCACCGCGGCGCCGGTGGTGCCGGAGAACCCGGTGGCATCATCACCCCCCTCCGTGAAGGCGGATGGGGATAGGACGTCTTCTGTGGCCAGCAATTGCGGTGTCGGCGGACACACGGCGGATGCCAGGTACTTCATACCTCTCGACTTCGCCGTGGGGGGGGGTTCTGTCGGTGATGATGGTGTGGATGATTCTTTCCTGTTGCCCTTCGCCTCTGTCCTACCCCACTCACCACGCAGCAGGGATCATGAAACCCCCTTTGTCCCCATGAACTGTTGTGGTGAATCTGCCCATAAGTACAGTTCAGCGTGGAGTTCGAGGTTGCTGCCAAAGTAACTTCCCCCGTTTACCAGCTCATGCAGAGCGCGGCGATTCAAGGGCAATTGATGGATGATAACACCCCCCGGACGAAACGCTTGTCGGTTTCCCTTTCGTTCGCCCGCACGTCTTAGCGCACGAGCATTGTAGTAGCGTCTTGCGTAGTGATCCCTGATGGTGAATTGCGTTTTGCTCAAGAGTTGTTCTGCGTGGACAGCAGCAGCATTGACCTTCTTTGTTGGAGGCCAGGATGTTCCCCCGGCTACTATTTTTTAACATGGTATCTCGAAGTACCGAGTTGTCAGCTGATGTAGTTGGAGTTGTGTTGTACTCCGCACGACGACTCGTTCTTCTATTCTTGCTGTTGTGTGTTTTTTCTGCAACCTGGCGATAAGGTGCACGACTGGTGCTAGCCTTCGGCACCCGCGCCGTAGCACCAACCAAACTCGCGATTTGTACCTTTTTTTCCAAGCGGTCGCCCTTCACCGCCATCTCCGATCCGATCGCTCCCCCCCCCGGCTGCCACACTCGATTGTTTCCAACACCGCCAACCGCTCGGTGTCCAGCGGCAAGTCTAACGGGCAACGGCCGGAGTCTGCGAGCAGCGCCAGCCAGCAGCACAAAAAGAGACGAGTTATCGAGGACGACGACGATGACGACGATGACAACGACCCCCCGCCCGGCCACAAGCAACGTTTTGCCGCGGCGTCGCCGGCCGATGCAGGCGGCGGCGGCGGCGGGGGGGGCGGGGGCAACGGTAGCCTGGCTGGTGCCAAGAAGGCAAGCGGGATGAACGGCAGTTCTCCGTCGCACTCCGGAGACCGACAGCACACGGAAAAGAGGAAGATTGTCGCGGGGCCACCTAGCAAGGGAGGAGGGGGGACGACAGCGGGGCTTGGCTCGCCGGCGGGATCTTCGAAGCACCCTGCAAGCGGAGGCAATGACGACAACGAGGACGAGGATGACGACACTCCGATCGCGTTGATAATGAAGAAGCCTCAGGCACCCGGTGCCGGCTCTAGCGAGATTACCGGCAGCAAGGGCAGCGCCAACAACATAGTCCCCAACAAGATTGGTGGCTCTAAGAACGGCACGAAGAGCGGTGACGGGTCGTCCAAGCCAGCCTTCACGATCCCGAAGCGAGAGGGCCTTTCCCAGCGGGCCCCCTCCTCAACCGGCAGCGGCAACAAGAAGAAGGTCGGCTCGTCCTCGTCTTCTCCCCGGCCCTCGGAGGCTGGCAGTAGCAGCAGCAAGGCTGGCGGCGGCAGCAGCGGCAGCAGCAGCATGCGCCGTGACAACAGAAAGCACGACTACGACGACGACGACGACTTCGAGCAGAAGCCGCCCAAGAAAAAGCGGCCGGAGGACTTCACCAGGGACCCGGCCAAGGTCGCCAGGAAACGCAAGCTGCAGGAGGAGGAAGAGAGGAGGATCAAGGAGGAGGCGCGCGAAAAGAAGCGGCGGAATTTGCAAGGCTCTTCTTCCGCCAGGGCCAAGGCCAAAGTCAAGCCAGAGCCGAGCGGCCGCGGAGGCGCCGCCGGCCAGTCGAGGGCGCCGCCGCCGCGAACCAAGGCGCAGGCAAAGGACAAGGCGCCGAAGAAGCCCAAGAAGCTGACTCGCGCGGAGAAGATCGAGAAGGCGATGAAGGTCTACATGTGGTGGGAGGAGCCCGCGCACGAGCCGGGCAAGCAGTGGGACTCGCTCGAGCACAACGGCGCCCACTTCGCCCCGGAGTACAAGCCGCACGGCGTCAAGCTCAAGTACGACGGCAAGGAGGTGAACCTGACGACCCAGCAGGAAGAAGTCGCGACTTTCTACGCCAGCGTGAGTACAGCATGTAGACCGGTGGGGTGGGAGATGGCAGTTGCGCTGGTTTCCCTGTCTCCCATTTCCATTTCAGAAGACAAGGGAGAAGCTGCTGCTACAGACGCCTTCCCAGCACAAAGAACACTTTCGTATCCTGCATGAAAACTCGAGTGGAGCGTCGTGCAGAGCGGTGCCCTGTGAGTAGCTACGTTAGGGACACGTGGAGTTCTTGGTTGAGTCAGCCGCAGGAAGTTGCTAGATTTTCGGCCTAGCGCGTTTGTCGCCCTTCAGTTCGTTGTGCTGAATTTGAGAGCGCAGGGGGTGCCGCGGATGGTAGCAGCGTAGCTGACAGCACGCGCTTGTTGATGGTGATCACAAGAACCGACAGACGAACGCACACACACTTTTCTCATTGATCAGTCGGTTAGCCCTCGATGCTAATGATTAAAACACATACAGTCGAGATGTCCCCGCTTTATAGACACCATTTTAAAGGCACTCCCCGCGTGAAGGACACAAAAAATCTCAAAAACATGATGGCCCACAGATGTGACAAAGTAGGGGGGATAGGTTTTTCCACCATTCGACCGCCCCCAGTAAATGGTTTCGAGAGCAAAGCACTTGTATTGCCAACGTTCGTTGTTTGTCTTGGGTTCAGTCTCGTGAGGTTGAATTTGGCGTTTGTGTTGTGTTGTGCCTCGTTTTGACCTTTTGCGAGACGCGGTGTCCTCTTTGTCGTTGTGCTTTCCCGACATTTTTGGTCTCTGTGTTTCTGCGTATCTACATTTTCCTAGTGTCGTCTTACAACCTTCGATATTTCTCAGGTGCGGTAGCGAGATCTTGGGCAAGATATTCACGGGGAGGACAACGCCTAAAAAATATTATGAAAGCAAATTATTAAGCCCAGATCAACACCAGCGCACTTCCGTGGTGTACATGTACGATGCGTAGGTCGTAGAACACCATCGCTTTCAGCGTTTTGGTGGTACAGTACGGGGAAATTCAAACGATGGTATGCAAGTATGTATTGCAGCACAATAGCAGCAGTGGTTGCGACCTTCAAATCACCTTATGTCGTAGGTTTCAAACAACACCTCTTGTGGTCGCCTTTCTGCTGCGAATGCGCACCTTTTTGACATATGTTTCGCCTTCATTGGCCCCGGGGATGGTGCGTTTGTGGCCCCGGAATTGTAAAGACACTTGCCCGCGTTAAAGACACTTTTTTGGGGGGGGAAACGTGGTGTGTCTTTAAAGCGGTGTCGACTGTATGCGTAGTGCGTGCATGCATGAACTGGCGACCGCCTCCCCCGAGCTTCGCCACCTCTTACCGCGGTTAGACGTGATGTAATATGATGCGGTGATGCAGATGCCCCTCGACGGCCCTCAGCTGGCGGAGCAGGGCAAGGTGTTCAACAAGAACTTTTTCACAGACTTTAAGGTGAGCTTAGAAGAGTGATACTACTGCTGGTCTGCACTTGATTCGCGACGGCGTTGGTCATGACGGAGACGGAGGACCTCCGTGCGCAAAGGGGTCTCCTTCGTTCCGTTCGTCGCAAAGCCAATACTTGTTTTTTTCCCTTGGTATGCTGTTTTCATGCGCATGCCGTGAGAGGATGAAACGGTGTCGGCACGCTTCACGTTCGTGTCGGCAGGATAGGAGCTCGCTCGTCTCGCCCAGGCCTGTCATCCGGGGGTTGGGGTCTTAAGAATGTACAGCTTTCCGTGTTCATTCAGCAATATCTTTGCGGTTGAGGCTCGGGCATGCCCTTTAGAGAAGCGGATGACCCTGTCTTGATGGCCATGCCCTTGATTGTTTCGTTGGTTTCGTCTCGTGTTCTTGTCTCTTGGACCCACGGAAGGCCGTCCTAGGGAAGGGGCACTTCATCAAGGACTTCAAGCTGCTCGACTTCTCGGCCATCCGTGCCCACCTGGACATCACCAAGCAGATCAAGCGCGCCGCCACGGACGGGGAGAAGGCCGCTGCCAAGACGGTCAAGGAGGAGCTCGTGGTCAGTGCGCGTTTTTTCTTGAGAGTGATGCAGTGCGCGCGCCCGTACCAAACTTGTTTTGTGACATATTTCAGGCAGCATGTTAGTGCGTGCTGTCAAACTCTACGCGGCTCCAGTGGGGCAAGCCACGTTCTCTATCGTACCCCTAGGGTCAAGTGTTTCCCACAGGCATGTTTTCCCGGAAGGCCAAACTTCTACCTATATCCCGCCCCAGCCTCATATTTTTTTCTTCAGGGGGACACAGCTGTTCGTCCCCTCACGGAAGGCATGGGAATGCTACAGATTTGGTTTTGCTCAAGTTGTCTGTTGTGTCTGCTGCTGCCCGCTCTGTTCCGTCGTCGTAGCACAAGTACAGCTACGCCATCGTTGACGGCCACCTGGAGAAGGTGGGTAACTACAACGTCGAGCCTCCCGGCCTGTTCCGCGGGCGAGGGGAGCACCCCAAGACGGGCAAGCTCAAGGCGCGCGTCACGGCCTCCGACATCGCCATCAACTGCGCCGAGGGGGTTTGCGTCCCGCGGTGTGACATGCCCGGGTACGCCTGGCAGTCCGTGCAGCACAACCCGTCGGTAAGAGGTTTTGTAGAGAGGTGACATGAGGGGGGGATTGTAGTCATTGCCGTGTATGCCGCTGTCGTTACCCCATTGACCTCGCATCCCTTCAAAGCCGGAATGGGACGGAGCACGGCGGGTTGTCCCCGGACCAGGCTCTCGCATTACCATTTGGGGGGGCGGGTACTCATGTGTTGCACGCCTTCGCTGTTAGGTCGTTCAATAACCCTTCCTCAAGCGGAGGACCGATCACCGATGGCCCTCTTTCCGTTGCCAACGGTGGCCCAGAGTGCTTCCCTTATCCTATCTCATGGGGGGCGGGCTCTTTCGTTGATTTTGTTTCTGGTGTTTCGGCATAGAGAGGAACGAAATGAGGTGGGGTGAAACGGAGGAAGCATGCCTAGCGAGCTCGACCCAGGCGACCTGCAACAGTGGTAGAGGGAAGTTTTAGGTGAAAGAGGGCATGCTGGTTTGGTGTTGGCGGAGATTGCAACGCAACCGAAACGACTCGTGGAGCAGTACCGCGTGTACCCGTCGAGTTCGGATTTTTGCGAGCTGAAGTGAACAACGATGCTTGATTTCCGTGGCGAACAGAAAGATATAGCCTCCCGAAGACGGCCGTTATACACATGAGGTATACATGGCCGCTAACCAGTAAGCCGGCCAGCATGACTACATAAGGTACACCCGGGCGGCTTGGCACCTCTCTCTTCCAGAGGGTTCTCACCCTGCAGCCCGATACGAGAAACAGTGTATTTTTGTCGCATCATCTACATGCTCGATGACGTCTTTTTTTCTCTTGTTGTGGCTATTGCTGCATGCTTGCTGACGTTGTTTTTTTTCGCCAGGCGACGTGGCTGTCCAAGTGGGACGGCCTGCTAGTGGGCACGAAGTACATGATGCTGGCTGCCAGCTCGTCGTTCAAGGGCAAGAGCGATATGGCCAAGTACGACAAGGCCATGAAGCTCAAGGGCTTCATCGAGAGGATCCGGACGGACTACATAAAGAAGCTCAGCAGCTCCGACAGGCGCACCAAGCAGGTCTCTATATCTCTTTGCCCCCCTCTCTCTAATTGTCTCTATCTGTGTGCTGGTGTTCGCTTGGTTATTGTGTGCTTGTTTTGGATGTGTCGTTTTTTCTGATGTTTGTTGTCGGTATCCGTTGTTGAGGCTGGTGCTAGCATTTCATGATTTCGCACGAGAGACGATCAACGGTCGATGTGACTGGAATAATTGTGGGCGTGAGATACGTATGCACGTGCACGCCTATCTCCTCCCTCCGGCGTTGTTGCCGCTGTTGGTCCGAACCAGCGAGCTGACATACGCAATTGAGAGTATGAGCCCAGTGCTGAAGTGTTGTGTCGCTGTTATGATAACAGATGGCGCACGAGCTGGATCTCGGTGTAGGGGCGATTTACGGGTCGGAGTTGACACACACAAAAGAACCAAACAAGAACGAAAAAGGCTGAATTGTCTTGACCGATGCGCTGGTCAGCGCTGTCAAACTTTGGAAACGAAACACACACGGGAAAAAACACACGGGAAAGTCATGCCATGCTTGAGACGTTTCGACTGCTTTAAGCGAACGAGCTCTTGATCGTTCCGCTCCATCCCTCCCTCCCTCAGATCGCGACCGCGGTGTGGATCATCGACAAGCTGGCCCTCCGTGTGGGCGGCGAGAAGGGCCAGGACGAGGCGGACACGGTGGGCTGCTGCTCCCTCCGGACGGAGCACCTTACCTTCCACGCCACGAACAACGAGATCGACCTCGAGTTCCTGGGTAAGGACTCAATGCTCTTCAAGGAGACTATCGACTTCGACAGGTGGGTTAGCCTTGTGGGGGAGGGGGAGGGAGACTTGGACTTGGAGTTATTCAGGCTGCATGGTTGTTGTTCACTCGTGGTTTCGAGGCACTCTTGTTCGTAGAGCGGACCAATTTTTCTAGGAGGGGGAGGAGGAGCGAAAAAAGTCGCTCGTTTCTTCCGCAGGTACTATGTCTGCTGCACCTGTCCAACCTCTCTTTGCGTCCTCTCTTGCTCACGTTTTTTTAATTTGTCGGACTCGTGTTGCAACCATCATTTTCGGTCGAACGCTAGGTACGGCGATGTCGGCCGGCGGGTGTTCAAGAACCTGCAGGCGTTCTGCAAAGGCAAGCGCCAGTCCGAAGAAGTTTTCGACTACCTGGACCCGAGGTGAAACTTGCTGTTGATAGGTACAGTAGTAGCAAGTCAGTTGCATGCTATTTTCTACTCGAACACCCCCATTGAACCGGCTAATCGTGGGCGGAATTTAGTAACACCCACGCAAGTGACACGCCCAGCTAGCGATCAATACCGATCACACGCTGCCACCACCACCGTTCTCTTCGTTTTGTGGAATGGACCCACGAGTGGAAGGGTAAGGATTGCTGAACCTCTGCCGCGACCGAAAAATTAGTCAGGCGGGCAAGCATCCCCGCAGAGGAAGATTTTTCTAGGGGACGCCGCCCTGTACGGTCAAAGCGGACACGTGTAGTCTGCGGCAGATGGGGGAGGAAGGGGGGCGAGAAAGCACGACTCCAGGAAACTTGGAGGGCCCCGTCGAAGACCTAATCCTAACCCTCTAAATTTTAAATTTTGCTTCTGGACGAATATACAGAGAAACGAAGTTTTTTTATGGTGCGTGTAGATGGGTGTGGTTCGCAAGTCCCAAGGCATTTTTCGTCTTTCACTCCTTCGTCCATGACGCCCCCCACCGCCCGTTCCCCTTACCCGCACCTCGCATCAGCATCCTGAACCTGCACCTTCAGTCGCTCATGCCGGGCCTCACGGCGAAGGTGTTCCGTACCTACAACGCCTCCGACACCCTACAGCAGAAACTCCCTAGTGAAGCCGCCCTTGCCGGGCTGTCTGTAGCGGAGAAGGTGTGTGTGCGATTGTGCTTCTTCTTTTTTGTCTCCCATTGTTGGACTCTGTCGTCTGCCCCTCTGACCCCTATCCTCCACTTCTACCAGCTAGACGACCCAACCGGGGTCACATATGAGGTGGAGGTTGGACCCCCTCCTGCGCTTGTGTAGGGTAAGGGTTGGGACGCCAGTTTTTATTCTGGGTGGTATGTGTGGACGCACAAGCATGGGAATAGATTTCACTATGTTGATTTTCTACGCTGTATTTCTGTTTTTGGTGTCAACCGTGCTTGCCCGTTGGCCAGGTAAACGTGCCAATCCTTTGGTATTGTAAGAGACGAGAGAGTTTCGGTACTGAGAGGGGTACTGAGAGGGATAGAGGAGCCGGGGCAGAGTCTAGTGATGTGGGGTTAAAGTTCCTGTCTGTTACAGCAGCATTCATCAACAAGGAGAACGGAAGTGTGTGAACAAAAGAGAACGGAAGATGATTATCAAGCGGTGCAACCCTTGTGAATAAGTGCTGAATAAAGTGTATCGACCGAGCTAACCTGTCCTGTGTTTATTTATATTGTCGTTGATGTCGTTGTTGTCAGGAGATGCAACACTACATTCATGAGTGCTGCCAATACACCGTCGGAAGCGCCATGTTTTTTGTTGTGCTTGTGCGTGTGTGTTTTGCATTTGTGTTTTTCACTCTCTCCGCTTGAGCATGGCTGTGTAGCACTGACGTTACGTGAGGACGTGTGCATGCTGCTATACGAACGATTGCTCGTTAGTGGGCAAGAACAAACTCAACGCCATGGCTGTCTACCTGAATCGCAGCTTGTCTTTCAAGTAGCTTCCGCGAGGTGTTGACGCCTGTGTTGCACCAACACGGAATGCGATAAAGGGATTGGCCTTTTTTGTGTTTGGACGTTTAGCGCTTCCGTCGAACTACGGCCACCACAACAAAGACCACAAACCATAACGCGGCCCCAATGCAGGTGGCTCAATACAACCTAGCCAACAGGGAGGTGGCTATTTTGTGCAATCACCAGAGGACCGTCAGCTCGGCGCAGAAGGAAGGTCTCGAGAAGCAGCGCGACCGCCTCGCGATGTTAACCAAGCAGAAGCAGGTGCGTCCGTACGCATATTTTTAAACGGGGTGGGGAGGGGGCGGGGGGGGGGGTTGTTCCCAATTACGCAACGGCTTTTTCTCTGAGAAAGCTGCTGCAGGCCTACGCGCGGATGGTTGTAATTTTTTTTCGACGTGAGTTGTATGTGTGTCAATTTTTGGGAAGACCTGTGTTAATGGTTGTTCGTTTTGTGTGGGAGAGTCAAAATGTGTTGGCTCATCACTTTCATGTACGGGTCCCGTCGTCCTCGTTTCGCCGAACGTAAAGTCTGCCATCCAGTCGGCCTGTGTCCTGTTGCCGTCTTGCGTTCATTGTCATCTTCGCCCATCCCTCCCTCCCTCCCTCCCTTTCTCGTACTATTCCTTTTCGCTACGCAGGAGCTGAAGCAGATGCTGAGAACCATCAAGAGCGGAAAGGGGTCGGTGCCGCTAAGATCGAACGACAAGTCCCAGGAAGAAAGTGCCGCCAGGGCCCTCGAGAAGGCTGAGAAGGCCAAAGCCAACGCGAAGACCGACGAAGAGAAGGTGATGGACTGCGATCGAATCCTTGTTCGTTGGTTTCGTTTGTGTTCTTGTTACTTAAGGGCGATGGCGAACTCTTGCGTCTTTCTGATTTGATTTTTGTGCCTTATTTTGAAGGGTGACGATGGCTTGTTGTTTCTGGTCTATCCCTTATTTGGCAGCCATGCTGCTGTGTCTCGAAGGCAGTCTTCGAACATGCAGAAGTCCTACTTGTACATGCAGGTGGTGGTTGCCGATATCGTTACATGCAGGCGTGTTTCGAATACTTCTGCTGTAGACGACCGTATGAGTCACCGCGGTGGAGATGCTCTTCTCTGCAGTACTGCTATTGAACCAGGGGTCCCGCAGTATCGTACTACCCCTCTCATCCCTCCCCCCCCGCGAGTCCGCTTCTGTTTGATTCCCCCCCCCCTTGTTTCGTTTTCGTCGCTTGGCAACGACGTTGTAAAACAAGCCAATTCACTTCGTGAACTCGGCA